AACAAGGCGACAACGTTCTCATTTAATTCCCTACAGTTATAACAAGTATTATAACGTGAATTCAAATACATTTTAACATTATTTATTATCCTCCTCTGATTTCACTGGTGGTAATAATATCTTCCACACCTCTGGCACTATTTGCGTTCAGTCACTTCCATTGCATGAGTTGGCTGTAGACTTCCATAGGAGATTAACTAACAACGCTCGTCTAATTCCCATAGTATTCCATTTATTGATAACATTAATATTATTTCCGAATGTATTCTATCATCCTTTCTCTTTCACGCAGGTTTCATATTCACTTTATTCAAATGTCTAATCATCAATTTTTACTCATGTAAGTGAATGAAGTAAGGACCAAGTTAAACTTTAAGCACCACTAACTACCAATCAGAAAATGACCTCTAAAGCACCAATCACGCGGAGGAGGCATTTTTGTGTATGGAATACACATATTTATGAAAAAATTGCATAAAACTGTAAAAAAGTGTTACAAAGGATAGCTTCCTCTCACATGGGATAAAAATAGTTCTCAGTTTTAGGTTGGTGTATCAACAGAGTATAATTCCATTGTGGGTAAAATTTATTTTGATAAAGTTTCATAGTGTTATGCAGCAATATTTACTGAGCAATAGATTGTGCTCGTAACGTTACCAGTAAATATTACTACTGTATAAAATTGTGAGACTATCAGAATAAATTTTACCCACAATGGAATTAAACTATACCACAGTACACAAGTTTTTATTCAAATATCAACAGAGTAATTTAACCACATTCTATGCATGTTATTATTTAGGTCTTCTAACCCTAGCAACAACCCTAATCTTTCCTGAACCTAACCCTAATGGGAAAATATCCCTAAACTAACTGTAATCTAACTCGAACCAAAACTATTGTCGCCTTCGTTAGATTAACCTAACCCTAAATTGTCCTTGGCTTAAAGAGTAACTTAATCTTTTGCAAACCTTGGCTGAAACTTGCCAGATATCCCATTTAATAACATAACACTTCGATTAGCAAATTTTATTGATGATGACATTATTATTTGATTGCATGGAGGATTTCATCATGAGCTGACATCAGTTAGAGAACCATTGGAAAACCTGAAAGGAGTAGCCGACAGCTGTTTCGTCAGCCATGTTTGGTACTCTTCATCAGTATGCACCCACCACCAGGGTTCGAACCAAGGACTTGGTTACAAGGTGAGCCAGCTCGTATACCATTAAGCCACTGGGACCCGATCCAATGGCCTTTGAATTCTAAATTCAGCCAATTCACGACATAGCGCGACCACTTCGCAATGTCTTCTTCGATGAGTTACTGCCTCATCTTCAACCTGACGTAAACTACTGATCACGGCTTCCCACTAGAACCCCAGGTTAGCTGCCTGAATACGGCCAGTCACTAGTGGGCATCAGATTAATTTTCAAGTATTGGTTTTGTAGGGAATTTTTTGATTGCATGGAGGATAAAAGCATGAGCTGACATTAGTTAGAGAACCACTGTTGGATTCCACTAACTTGCTCAATGAGCTTTCAAGGTAACTGGTGCTTGAAGTTTAGCGTGACCTGAGAAAGTTATGTGAGTAATGCCTTGATATAATTAGCAGCAGCAATAAATTGTGCTCGAAAGGTGGTCATCAGTAAATATTGCTGTATAACTCTGTGTGATTTCATAAAAATAAATTTTGTCCAATATGGAATTACTCAGTTGATAGTTATTCCTCGCCCTAACCCGACACGACCCGACCATGTGTGCGTGTGTGAGAGAGGGTGCGAAAACAATTCATTCTCACGCTTAACCTACCTTTGTAAAACATTATAACCTTCCTTTTTCATCACTATCTGAATACATTGCAAACAGTAGAATCAACTATCACCCTCCTGACATCAGAATCCCCTTGCCACTTTTCACATTTTCATTTTAATATAAATTGAATTGACAATCACAATGTGTAATCAATCAGATTATTGAAATATATGTTACACAATTCCATCCAAATTTCCACATGAACTCCGCCTCATCACAACTCTATCCGAAATAAGTTTTTTCTTTGTGACAAATCAACCAATCACTTTATAACATATAGTATTATCGATTCGATCGTTAAAGGAAACAACATCGAAGTATTTCAGTGCCAGGAAGACCTTTCACTAAAGCACCAACATATTTACACGGGATTATTAGAAACCAATTCGGTTGAGTATTATTCAGAATAATAAAAATAATATGATAATCTTACATCAGGGATTATTACTTCAGTAAATTTCATGTAGAAATATAGTCTAGACGAATTGCACAATTACATTTTTAGTATTTTTAATATATTTACGCGTTGAAGTTTCTGTAGCAGTTCGGTTAAGTTTTAGGGATGGAGTAGCTAGCACCACGCCCAAGCCCTCCCTCTTTATTCGGGGTTTGGACCGGCTAGAAAACTAGCGAGCTAGTAATCTAGGCGATTTCACCCATAATCGAAGACTTAGAAGAGAAAACCGACAAACTGGTTGAAGAAGCAGCCGGAGAAGACAGGACTCCAGGTGAACATAGACAAGACGGAGGTTATGAAAATAACCAACCAACCAACCAACAACAACAACAACAGCAGAAACATCCAGCGCCTATCACCATCAACGGGACGGATTTGAAAGACGTTACTTCATTCATTCACCTTATCTAGGGAGCATTGCCTCAACTACAGACAGTCGGAACAGACGAGGATGTCAAATCGAGCGAGAATCGGGAAGGCAGGCGAGAAACACATTCATCAACCTGAAACCAATCTGGAAATCTTCGTCACTCAACTCAGCCAGGATCAACAACAAAATTCGGTCGGATTTTCAATACAAACAGCGTCAAGTCAGTCAGCTCTTCTATGCGGATCAGAAAGTTGGCGGGTGGGTCACAAAGAATATTTCCAACAGCCTGTTGTAGACCTTCATCAACCAACAACTGTCTTCGCTGGCTCTATACTGAAGATGAGATGGCCGGGCTGGGCCGGGCCGGAAAGAATCACCAACAAGAAACTATGGGCACTAACAAACAAAACAAGAACCAATCGCCCCCCACCCCCAATAAATATGCAGGAGAAAGTGGATTGAGATGGATTGGACACTCGCGACTGAGGAGGCCGCTGGGTGACATCGCGCGCGTCAGGCCATTGCTTGAGTGGAACCAGACCGAAAGGGAAGCGGCGAGTGGGTCGTCGGTGCAAGGGGGAGTAAGAGGAAAAGAAGGTGGAGACGTGCAGTTGAAGCCCTATGTTCCACTAGGAACCCAAGGAAATAATAATTGCACAACTAGGAGTTAAAAATATAGGAATGACGGTGATAAAAGTTTTTGAGAACTAAAACTCAGACAACTCTTTTGTTACATTGATTTATGATTGAAATTATTGTGAAAACCAAAAATATCCTTTCACTCGACTTCCACACAATTACAGAGCTGAATGTTTGTACCTTAGACCTTGACAAACTGATTTTATTTTCAAGATTTAATTTGTAGGAATATAATTTATTGCAAGACTTTGATCACGGATTGATACCATTCAGAGAACCACTGAAAACCAATAGGGAGCACTGGACAGCTGTCTCCTCCTAGTTTGGCACTGTCCAGTATTAATCAGCCTCTAGGGGTCGAACCCAGAACCATCCCGGTAACCAGATTAGCTCGTCCACCATCCAGTCACTGGGATCTGATTCAATGGCCCGTGAATTCCAATTTCTGCCAATTCATGATATTAAAATCCCAAACGTCTGTCAATGTGCATCGGCCCAACCGGGTGGACCAACAATAAAAATAAAAATGTATGTGTATTAGTGCTTAAGCGCAATCTCTCCCCTTTTTTTATTAGTAGTACATTTTCAAATACCAACACCATTCCCATGCACATGAATGAGTTCACAAAAATCCTGTCACCTCTCTCAGGTTAAAAATCAGGATTAAAGGATTAAAGCGACAAATTCCTATAGCTAGGTCATTCAATTTAGAAATTAATTAGCCTATCAAATTTCATGTCTTCATTTTTCACTTCAGACAATGGCTGTAAACACCAGTCTTTTTTTGTCACAACCAATCAGCTTTAAGGTTAGTTAACCGTTTCAATTGCTAAAAATAATTTGATTGGTTCAGCCAGCCATCTATCTACAACACGAGAGAGAGAGTAGACAGTATTTTGCTAGCATAAGAAAGCATAAGAGTTTTTAAAAAAATGTTATTCATTCAACCAGACTTAGAAACGCACCGCTGTTACCCCAAAATAAATAATGAAATATTAATGTGATAATGACTATCACAATTGGATTACTATCATTTTACTCTGCATAAACAAATCATAAGAAAAAAAACAAAGGGGGAAAACGATAATTATAATACTAATAATAATTTGAGTAACTTTTATCCCTCTCTTCTACCTGGTCATTCAACCAACACAACAGCAATATCAAGTGCATGAGAGAGAGGAGAGATATACACCCTAAATTCAACTGCTACTACTAATATATACCATTTCTTCTCTTCCCCTTCGTATCATTCGCCGAAAAATTCAACATCTCGGTGATATAAACATTTTCCTAAATAAATCTAATTAACCAATAAAAATAACTCGTATTTACCCTCCGTTTTACATCCAAAATATCGTCGTATACTAGAATCACTAGTAGTGGTAGTAGTAGTAGTCCCCTGACATTAGGCTCATATGACTCGACACCTGCAAATACTCTACCATCATCATCATCATCATCACCATCGGCAACAAAGAGAGTGAGAAATACTCTAAACATGTATGAAAATCATATGTCATCACAGTTACTACACTCTGTCTACACCTATGTTCCACTTATACATTCCACTGATCTTTGGATATAACTCAATCACTTTTGAACAAAAAATAAAATGTTTCCCAATTATATTTGAATTGTTTTGTGGATTTATGTATCAGGAAAGAAAATTATATCAAATCATTAAGAATCGATCGATAAAACTGTATGTAAAATAACATGTTCATTATTCGGTGAGTACTTACTGGGTTTTCGAAAATTTTCTGTTCATATCATTATTTACATTCATGTGCGTCATCCATTTATTCTTATGCTTTGAGCGATATTCAATATTTTGTCGTGTTATTTTTTTTTCTTTCGAAATTTCAATCGATAATTTTAATGAATAATGAAGCAATCAGAGTAGAAAGCTGATAACTAAACTTTACTTGCTTTAAAAACACTATTTTTTTGTTCTATGATCATGTATTGTGTTGTTTTTTTCAAAACAGCGTCTGAAATTAGCACACCTGTCTATAATTGATTAGTAAATGATATCAATCTGAAGTCTGATCACAAATTGAAACTTGTTGGAGAACCATTGAAAGTCAAAGTTTAGGACTCAGTTATCAGTTTGAGGTGAGCTCGTTAACTATTGAAGAAACTTGACTTACGTTCACTCATGTGAGCTGACATCAGTCAAAAAAGCACATTGAAAATCAGCAGGGAGTACTGGATAGCCGTTTTGTCCATCTAGTTGGAGATTCTTCAACACTACGCACCCACTGGGGTTCGAACCGACGGCATTTCGGTTACAAAGAAAACTTGTAGACAATTCAACCAATGAGATTCGATATAATGGTTCATGAATTCTGATTTTCACCGATTCATGAGTTTAATGTGACCACTAACCAATGTTATTAGCAAGCGTTTGTCCTCATGCGTACTGCTGAAGTACCGCAAAATAAAACAAAACAGCTATCCAGCATTCCCTACTGGTTTTTCCCTGTTTCTCTAACTGATGTCAGTTTGTGACTGAACTTGAAACAAATCAAATTCTTGGAAATCGGCAATTAGAAATAGCATTGATTTGTCAGCGTTTAAGGGTCTACAAATATTTAGTTGAATTTTTAACACAAAACTATGAGAGAATAATCTGAAAGGATATATTTTCTTGATTTTTTACGACGGTTTTGAATCAGGAAATAGAGCAAATTATTCCTACATTTGTTTAACTCATAATTGTGCAATTCGTCTAGACTATATTTCTACATGAAATTTACTGAAGTAATAATCCCTGATGTAAGATGATCATATTATTTTTATTATTCTGAATAATACTCAACCGACTTGGTTTCTAATAATCCCGTGTAAATATGTTGGTGCTTTAGTGAAAGGTCTTCCTGGCACTGAAATACTTCGATGTTGTTTCCTTTTACGATCGAATCGATAATACTATATGTTATAAAGTGATTGGTTGATTTGTCACAAAGAAAAAACTCATTTCGGATAGAGTTGTGATGAGGCGGAGTTCATGTGGAAATTTGGATGCAATTGTGTAACATATATTTCAATAATCTGATTGATTACACATTGTGATTGTCAATTCAATTTATATGAAAATGAAAATGTGAGAAGTGGCAAGGGGATTCTGATGTCAGGAGGGTGATAGTTTATTCTACTCTTTGCAATGTATTCAGATAGTGATGAAAAAGGAAGGTTATAATGTTTTACAAAGGAAGGTTAAGCGTGAGAATGAATTGTTTTCGCACCCTCTCTCACACACGCACACATGGTCGGGTCGTGTCGGGTTAGGGCGAGGAATAACTATCAACTGAGTAATTCCATATTGGACAAAATTTATTTTGATGAAATCACACAGAGTTATACAGCAATATTTACTGATGACCACCTTTTGAGCACAATTTATTGCTGCTCATAATTATATGAAGGCATTACTCACATAACTTTCTTGCTTCATTTATATACATGAGTAAAAATTGATGATTAGACATTTGAATATAGTGAATATGAAACCTGCGTGAAAGAGAAAGGAAGATAAAATACATCTGGAAATAATATTAATGTTATCAATAGATAAAATACGATGGGAATTAGACGAGTGTTATTAGTCTATCTCCTGTGGACGTCTATACCCAATTCGTGCAATAGAAGGGATTCAACGCAAATACCTTAGATATGTGATTTTATCAAAATAACATTTTATACATAATGAAATTATATTTCTACCACATTTCCCAGTGTTTTTCTTATATCAATAAAAACCGTGCATATTTAAATATTAGGCCATGTTGGGTTTTGGATAAAATCTTGGCTTTAACTCTGTGTAATCATATTCCACGTCAAAATGTAACCTCCATATTTCAGGCAGTGATGAAAACAGTAATATTTGTAATGTTTGTATTTGGAAAAATGCGTTTGTACACAAGACAGAATATTCGGCGTGTTTTTTTTCATTGAATGGAATTTACACCTTGTACAGAGCCTACAAGAAACATAATAAACGATAACATTGCAGTGTGAAGCAGTACTGTTTATATCTAGAGCATTCTAAAATACTCCACAATATTCTTCCTTCATTTTCTTCAAGAGAAATTCCTATTAGTATGTTGAAATGGAATTGCTTACGCTTGTGAGTGTACACTGAGAATGATACAACACGTCATTAGGAGCTGTTTGAAAATGTGTGTGTTTGTAGAGTATGTATCACAGACGTAGACATGATTGAAACGACATGAAATGAAGTGAATGTGATGCATTTAGATTGTTGGAAAATATAGATAGCCCAGAGGTTGGTGGAAGCTCTGGCGTTATTATTTCAACTGTGAAGTTGTGAAGAGAATTTATTGAATTCTATTGTTAGTCCTATGGTTCATATGAATAATATGCTTTGATATAGATTGAGGGTGAGGTGGAACATGTGTTTATTGAGGTTGTGGGACAGGACTGTTTATCAAGCGATTTCTCTTCAAGTTCCATCACCATCCTGTGAATCATACATGTCCAATCATTCACACCCACACACACACGTTTTTGTAAATTGGATGTGACGTGATCACTTGCCCAGAGTAGAAGTTTGTAGAATGGCGTGTTTTTGTGATTTTCAGTTGATGAGATATCCTTCAGTTGATTGATCGATTCCTAGGTGTTTATGTGAGGGTATATTCTGTTGTCGGCTGGTTATCCTCCAAAGCCTCAGGATGGTCGGGGGTGGGTGCCTTGCGCTGCGGGTTGGCCACCCCTCCGCACACCTCTTGAAATGCTCCCACATGACCGGGCGTCTTACATAGCCTCTCCTGAGGAAGTCCTACTCACTGCCTTCACGTGGCGGAGGTGTTTTTCACCAAAGTGAGAGGGCAAAAGCGGATGCCCGGCGCTCTTCACCGGGTTGACTGTCCATTGGATGACAGTCTAGGGGAGATGGCTAAACCCTGATTCCAAACCTCCAACGACTGGCGTATGAAGCTCACCGGGGCTCACCGGCAGACGTATGGACAAAGGGCTTATTGGATGCCCTGGATGACTGGCCCCATTCAAAAAGGCGAATGAACCGGACTCCGGTCACCGGCTGCCAATGGATAGTGGACTCCTTACTCCACTCCTACTGCCTTGTAGGTCACACTTGGTTGTGTAAAGGCTAGAGCTGCACTCTCAAACAAAGGCCGAGCGATGCTGGGGACATCACTCGTACCCAATTCCCATGAAACTTCATGGTTCATGAAGCCGGCTCATCCTCCCGTAGGAGATAGCCGAAGTAAAGTAAGTAAGTAAGTAACACAACAAGTCCTTTATGTTAAAGAGAGACTGTTCACGACTTTGGCCTTTTTTGATGTTTGTTGGAGTGGTGGCATAGTAAGCTGCTAACCATTCGTGAAAATAAGCAGTACCCTATCTCAAATATGCGTATGAAAAAAGGGTTTTGTTATCATGGTTAACTTACTTTGGTATTCTCCATTTGATTATGTATTACCAAGACTATTGTTAATTATTCTGCTGCTTGCTTTTATATTCTTTAATGTTTCATTTGTCATTTTTTAAATATTCATATTGACTGAAGTAATAAGGTTGATGTGTGATTAGATTGTGTGAAATGTGCTGGTGGTGCATCCTAGTGTCTAGATAAGCTCCTCTCTATTTTTAGTGACTTTACAGCCTCGATAATAAGTGAACAGTGGTAACTGGTGAAATCGATCATTAATAATTTTTGTGATGCGTAAACTAGTGGACACCATGAAATGAAAGAAGAACCATCTGTTGTCTGATGCAGTCAGTGACTAACTTAATGGTGCAACGTGTTGATTCTTAAACTTAGAATAGCTTGGCCTTGGTGCCAAATGTCTGAGTGTTACTCTTGCTGATGTCTAAATTCCACATTAAAAAGAGAAGTTAACTTAGAAGCCAATGAATTGATTGTTTATAACAGTATGATTAATGACTTTATTCTGAACAGTATTTATACAGTGTTCATATCAATTACAGAATTTCCAGAGGAATTTATTGCATAATAGTTCCTCTTTGCCGACAATCTTCACGTAAAAATAGTAATTGATAGTAGATCGTGTGACACATTGCTGTCTTCTGACCTGAAGCGTAAACCAATCCCCTTTTTTCATATTTATTCTTTGCCTTCTTCGAGAAATGCACGACACCTGGTTGAATGGCAATTATCAAGAGGTGTGGGAGTACATGTTTTTGATCGAAGGAGATAATAACAATAGCTGAATAATTGAAGACAATTCAGATTACTCGTTTCATTTCTCAGACAGTGACAGTGACAGTTTGTACATTCACAATTTTGTGTTTCCTTAAGTTTATTAGAAACTTGCCTATCCTCAGGTTGTGAGCAGTTGAAATACTCTTGAGAGTGGAAAACACCATCAGAGGTCAGATTGTTAACATATTAAGACGAAGGAAGAAACAATTAAAGTTATGTATTGCGATATAATGGAGTAAGTTTTTGGTAGCTCAAATTTTGAAGCAGGCTTCCTGATTATCATTATTATTATTAATTCTTTTGTGTTTCACTTAAATAAGACAGTTGAAGGTATTTCCAGTTTAAACTTACTATTTTTATTTCGTTGTTTTTGCTCCGAAGTTTTAATTTTCCACCTGATTTATTTATTGTTGGCCATTTATCAGTAAAAAATTTCTCCGATAACAATTATTTGTCTATATTTTATGGACACTTGTTGTGATTTAAACATGATATTGTTGTTATTTGAAAAACAAAAAT